AAGAAAGTCAAGATAATGGCCACAACCACACCACGGAAGCCTCTTTCAATGCACAGGGTAGTATTCTGATTCCCCCTGTGGATTCTCCTGACAAATCAGTATTCATGAATTTCCAGCCAACAGCCAGCAAAAATACCTCATCAAACATTTTCTTGTTACATAAACAAACTTTACTGTGTCTTTTTCACTTTTCCGTTAAAACTGCAATTCAGAAATCCTAAAGGAGATTAAGATAATTAAAACTGTGCCTGAATCAACAAGCCAGTGTTACAAGTCATGTATTTTCAATTAGATTCACACACAATCTGGAAGAGAGCATAGATGGGCTAATGGATCAGTATATTCATCATCATTACCACTTTCATCTGGTGGAAATGAGGAGCAGATGTTATGGAGCTTTTCCACATTTGTACTCCTAGCCCTTACCTCCCGTTGAATACAAATTGGAAAACACAATGAATTATATTATCAAAGTATATTGTTGTGAATTTGCTTCATAACATGGGTTTATCTCATAGGTGGGTTCCTATCGGTTTGGTCTGGTTCAGCCGAATAGGTAGTAGCTCGGCCGGAAATGTGACCGAACTGGTTCTATCCTCAGCAGTGCCATCTTTGTTTTCTGTACTATACATGCAAAGAACAATCTTCATTGAAAAAATGTATTTTATCCCTTTTCTAATTTTGTGCGCATGTACAGACCTTTCTAAGTGCAAATGCTCATGCATGTGCAAAAATTTTCAGGCACCGAACCTATAGTAATGCCGGTAAGAACCCACCCCTGGTTTAGCTGTGCAGTAATGTAGTTGTTATGGCAGGGATGGGTGCAGAGAAAAGTAACTAAGAGGATTAAAGGCCTGGAGACTAAAACATATGAAGAATGATTGCACGATTTAGATATGGCTAATCTAGAGGGACTAAGGGGGACATGATAGCACTATTCCAGTATTTGAGGGGTTGCCACAAAAAAGAAGAGGGGGGTCAATTTATTCCCAAAGCATCAGAGGGCAGGGCAAGAAACAAGGGATGGAAACCCTAGTGAAGGAGAGAAGCAACCTGGAATTAAGGAGAAACTTCCTAACTATAAGATCAATTGACCAATGAAACAGCTTGCCTTCAGAAGTTGTAGGTGCTTCAACACTGGAGGCTTTTAAGAAGAGACCGGAAAACCACCTTTCTGAAATGGTATAGGGTTTCCTGCCTAAGCAGAGGATTGGACTAGAAGACTTCCAAGGTNTGTTCAAGTAAAACATGACATCTTTTAGCAAATTTGAATGCATGCTTACTATTTATCTGCTGTTTAGAAGTTCAAAATAAGAAATAGTTTCTTATAATGGCCCTTGTAAAAGTTTGGACTCTCTTTAATATTCCCTATAGATTCCTTATAGGCTTTCTATTCTTCTCTTAAAATTATTGTTATTTATTCCCACCACCACCACTTTATTAGTAGAAATTTTATAGCTCAAAAATATTCTTGATCTCTTGAGATCTCCACAGAGACTTTTAATTATTTTCAAGTTTGAGAACTGTGGAGGCCTTTTAAAACCCTTATTTCTTTTAAGTGTTTCTGCTTGAAGGTATTTTTCAGATCACTGCTTTGCTGCAAAAACCAAGCTCTTTTTACCTTCAATTTTTTTCACGGGACAGTGGGACACTGCAAGATTTTCCTTCTTTTAACTATGACCTAAATGGATGTTAATTACCGTTTGCATCTTTCTTGTCTCTGCTCCCACGTTGATATCAATGTTCTTATTTTTTTAAAAACTTATACATAGGAATTCCACAAAATTGCGTAGTGGAAAAACTTTGAGTTTAATGTGTTTTTTGTTTGTTTTTGTTTGTTTTCTTACCTTCTGAAATTTTTCTGAAGACTGCATTTAAACACAGGACAAATATGTAATTGTTACAAGAGAAACTGATACATTTATTCCAAATATCCTATCCTAAATTATTTGCCCAATACTTGATACCAATGAAACAAACAACTGAACTAGGGTAAGAGTATGTTCACAGCCTGTGGTTAATGAACCGTATTAAAGCTAACTTATTTTAACTAATACAATGCCACGGAGATGTGTGAACGTATGGAACAGTCACATGAATGAATGAGTTTTAAGTTCTGGAAGTGAGCAAAGTTCCCTGAATTTATTTCTATGAAACTAATGTCCTAGATTAAAAAAAAAGAAAAAAACAAGCAGCACTGGAGTTGCTTTCTGGCCTTCAATGTGATAGCAGTGTAACTCCGATTGCACCTCTTATTAAAATATAATATATTCAATCTTTTCCAAGGAGTGGAAACCAATTGTTTGAAGAAAGGTATTTGTGCAACTAACCATATTTCCTCCTAACATGCCACCCAAGCATCCAAATACAGAATCTGACAAGAATGAGCTATGTAAAGAAGTGAGAAAAACTGAGAAGCAAAGTTAAAAACACAAAGCTTGGCAATTTATTGCGTTTGCCTGCTACTTATTGCAAGTTAAGAAAATATTAACCAGCCATACCAAGTATGCTGTCCTAGGGTATTCTCACTCCAGAGAGGCTAAAACAAAGAGTCAGATTTCTAAGAAGCTTTCACATACTATTTTGAGATGGGGGTCACTAACCCAGCTTATCCTAGAGAGAATTAGCAAGCACATTTAATCTTATTTAAGATCAAATGGCTACTCATCCTATTTCACATTTAAGACCTTATATGAATGAGAACAATGTAACCAGAAAATTCCTGGAGAAAATCTATATATGTAGTCACTCTGAGTCGATGTTTGACTTCAGGGCAAAAAAGTAATCAATCAATTAGTAACTTTTTTTAATACTGCAAGTGTTTATTAAATACACATATGTCTGATAAATATGAGTGCACCCACAATTTTTTTGCTTAACTCTCTACAAGTGACAATTTAGTATATTTCAAAGAAACCTTGTGACCATCTTGATCCCAAAGTCTTACAATTTAAAGGTAGGTTCTTAGCTTATTTTAAAATGCTAAAGCTAAGAGATCTGAATCAGGAGTGGTGTTCACTTATCTTCCCTACCGGTTCACAAATGTGAGCGCACACACGCACATGCATGCTTCGCTCGCACACCTTTTCATGAAAAAAGGGCCTAAATGGGATGC